AAACAGAACAAAAACATCAATGTCATGAAAGACAAGGAAATACTGAGGAACTGTTCCAAATCAAGGAAACTAAAAGACTAATGACCAAATATTATGATCCTGGATGTAAAAAGAAAAAAAAATTTTTTTGCTTTAAAAGTATATTATTAGTATAATTAGCACAATTTATATAAGGATGGGATGTTGGAGAACAGTCTACCAATGTTACATTCTTTGAGCATGATCACCGCATTACAGTTGTGTAAAAAGATACCTGTTCTTAGGAAATACACACTGAATTGTCCTGGGGTAAACGGCACAGTGTCTGCAACTTAGTTTTGAGAGATTCCCGCAAAATAATAATGATGTATGTATAGAGCGTGACACAACAAATGTGGCAAAACTGTTGACAGTTGACCAGTCTGGGGAAGGGTGCATGAAAGTTCTTTGTACCTTATTGCAACTTTCTGGAGGTTTGAAATTATTTCGAAACAAAAGATTTTTAAAAAATAAAATACTCATTCCTGATTTGTGGCCAAGAAACTGACCAGCTTTCCAGAGCTCTTGGATAAAACAGCTTACTCTGACATGGACACCACTGAGGAAGAGGTGTTCCAGGGACTCACCAACTCACCAGCAGAAACCCCAGCAGCTGAGAGATGCCCAGACCCTCCCCACCCCGAAGGGCAGCAGTCCTCTATTACCATTTCCTCTTTCCCTAAAGGCTCTCCACAAAGGCAGGGGTCCCTCCAAACCTCCCACAGGGCTGCTGTGTGTGTGTGTGTGTGTGTGTGTTCAAAAGCCACCATCTAATGTAGATGTGCAAAGTTGAGAGACAGGATTCTTTCCCCTCCCCCCTGCCCCCAAACACTGAGTGAGCGACCCTGGTTGACCCACCAAGAAATGAATACCTTTCCATTTAAGGTCTGAAAATGCTCTTCCACGGGTATCAAAATGTAGGACTCAAACTGACAAGTAGACTGAACACTGCTCGACAGGCTTCCTTTGCAAGGCACTAAGACCTAGAAAAAATAATTAGGGTGAACACTAGAGAGATGTGTCATTTACAACTTCAACAGAACTGGATGTATCCAAAGACGCTCCAACTGGAATTGTGGGGACCTACTGGCAGAGAGAATTCTGGGGTCACTTGCCAAAGTGTTGCTGCCAGCTGAGTTCATTTGTTGCTGTTGTGATGGAATCAGATGCCCCCACCCCAGTCAGAGGGAGGATGAGGCTGGCACGAGACTCAGAGGCTGGAGGGCTGATTCCCCCACTCACTGGGTCCCTCCCCACAGCTAATTCCAGGCACACTTTCTATTCTCTACAGTCCAGTTCCAAGGACCAACAGGCTCGGGAACAAGCCCAGTAAAGAGAGGAGAGTTTAGAAACGACAGAAAAGGGAAACAAAAATCACACATAATCCCACCAACCAAAAGATAAATATTCCACATTGAAGACAGCTTCCTTTTAATCTTTTTTCTATGCTTTTTTTTTTTTTAAAGATGACCCATAAGGGGATCTTAACCCTTGACTTGGTGCTGTCAGCACCACGCTCTCCCAAGTGAGCTAA